CTCCCACGTTTAGGATAATCTGGAAAAGCTAGATCTTTTCCATCCATCGTCTCTATCAGTCATTGTCACCACATCGTTCGATCCCCGCCAAGAGTTTCTGTGCAACCACTTGAGTGGAGGAAATGTATACTTTGGTTTGTGACAAAGGATGTGGCCTTTTTGCTACTCATGTGCATGCAGCAGTAAAACTTCACCATGCAGATCAATGGAACAAGACCAAAGTGGACATTTCCTTTACGTGTAATTATGTTACAGATGGGACTGAACTGCAAACGTAATGCGACCTTTTACACTTAGAGGAAAGTACACCACATCTATGTGTTTGTAATGACGTGAATAAAAACCCAAGGCACTGAGTTAAATAATAAACATGAACAGGCTTCAGAGCATTTAGTTGACCCAAACTAATCCAATCTGTGACCTTCATTGTGGAAACATGCTTGTTTATAACTTCCTCTAAGAGTAAATCTCTCTTTTCCTCTTCCATGTTCCCTATAAATAGAAAGGAATTAGCAATCTGTTACTACTAGCAAAATGATCCAAACAAAATGCAATGCATGAGTGTGAGAAAGTGGGAGATGACTAGAATAAAATCAAAGTAAAAAAAAGTAACTAACCAAGCTCAGTCAGTGTGAAAACCAAAGACAAAAGTATTTTTGCATACAATATGCACCCTGTGGCTGACCTTTGTTGTTCAGCTTATACCGTCTACTCCTTTAAAGTGTGGTAGGATTGTTCCTGGAGGAAAGTCTTCCCAATCTATGAATTCGATTAGATTTATTACAATGCAAATAAGATGTTTCACTGTTTAATGCTTTTTTTTTTACTTAAACATATCCTTAAAATAGCCTCATATTTGACCCTTTACCACTAAAGCATCATTTGATGAGCAGACTGACACCTCAGCCTATAGCCTATTTTCCTGAATTGACTTTGGGTCAAGCGGGAACGTCCAGCGGTTTCATGTTAAATGGGTCCGACCTCGCAAACAATCAAAGTGTTATATTCCAGAGGGATATTTTGGACACTAAAGGCCAATTTATGCTTCTGACGCATAGCCTCTGCATTCGTCGAATCTGTCTCAGTGCGCCACCACGCCCCCCCACCGTTGTCGCGCACCTCAAAAAAATCCTGACTATGTGTCGGACGCAGACCTCAAGCGGAAGTGCTCAGACAAAAAGCAGCTATGATTGGTCCTTGGTATGCTTTTCCGGCTGTCTGTGTGGTCGTCCTTCTTGATTCGGTGCAGGAGCGCGCCATTTTTAAAAACTGAGGAACAACTGCAATGGACAACAACGACGAAAGGTTAATCTGTCTTTTTGCCAACTCCATTAACAGAAACTGTTCCTCTTCGATGTCCAGCAACTCTAAGTCCATCTCCGTGACCGTGCTATCTTGCATCGTCATTGTTGTGGAAGATAAACACTCCCGCCGGCACCGCCGAAGTTCTCGTGACCATCTGCTGAAGTTCTCGCGAGTTCTCGAATAGGCTCCCCCTTGCGCTTTGGCGGGAAACTGCTGTGCGTCCCTAGAAATTCCAGACCAACGGTGCAGATGCATACCAGCGAAACTGGTTCACGACCAGACCCAAGCGACGTTTGATGTGTGCGATTGCAGAAGTATAATCCGCCCTTAAGAGGCGACCACCATTCATCTCAACTCAGACACCAATGGCAACTACAGGTTAGGCGGGAAACAAAGAACCACTTCAAAAAGGTTTAGTGGAGGATTTTCACAATTTTTTTGAAAAGACCCGTCCTCTCCACTTAAAATAAATAATGCACACGCACAACCCTGTACCCGCTTCTGACAGGGAACGTCTATTAAAAGCGTGTGAGAGGATGCGCAAACTATGTACTAACTGTTAAAGATACAGGTTGATGACTTTAGATTTAAGCTTCTTATATTAGAAAACATTTGTGACTTAACTTGGATTTGAGCCTCTTAATAGAAATTACCTTTTGCTTTTATTAAAGATACACCAAGCAAAACTAATTGTGTGCTTCTTTCTGTCACAAACATTTCAGGGATTGCTCATTGTGAGTTTTTAAGCATAAGACTTTGCTTTGGACTTAACTGTCTTAAACTGTGACTCTGCTAGAGACATGAATAAAAAGACTTGAGACTTATTCGTGAGCTGGTTCCATGTTTAGCTTATACCATTAAAACACATTCCTACAGCAAATTCACTTCATATTAGCAAAAGAAAAAAATATCCAGGGACAGAAACCGACCTATGAACAGATTATGTATCACAAAACGTAGATCTTATATACATTATTGAACTTCTTCTGTTATGGCCAATAATGTATATTTACCCAGATTACATACATCTTATATACTTCTTCTAGCCTTAGGTAAAAACAAACGACCACATTGGTGACATTGGTTCACGCCCTCAAATAAACAGGCTCTATTCAGCTGCTACACATGACCAAATCCTGTCACCTGTTACTTTACACTTTAAGCTTGGACTATCATCTATTGTAATTACACACGTATACAAGTGTTTTTATGCATTAGATTGTGAACAGTAGAATGCCAAATATGGTAGGGATCAACAATTGATTATACAGACTCTAAATCAAACCGTTTGTTAAAAGAGCAACCAAATCCGATTAAAAATTAGGTAAAACCCTGAGCAAAATACATAAAAAAACTAAAACTAAAAACCTATGTCAGTAAATATCCTCTTTAGTTTAAGCTTCACTTTGTTCAAACCCTGTGAACAATCCCTGAAGACTTTAACTATCTGATTATTAATCTAAAAATCATCATCAACTAAAATAGTTGAGTAGCTAAATTCACCTTAATAAAATAGGAATGGACCTAAAACATAAGCTGTGGCGGTAAGCTTAAAGTTATAGTGGAAGATTTTCACAAATTTTTGAAAAGACCCGCCCTCTCCACTTTAAAACATGTCCAACTCTGTACCCAGAAAAAGAACATCCTCCACTTTACCTTTAATAGAATAAATCCACAAGTATAAAAATGTTAGCCCAGGAATTTGGAGCTATTGGATTTGAGCCCAGCAGGATATAATGGAAATAATTTTCTACATAAATACAAAGAGGGCAAAATCCATATTGGCTGCAAACAATTTTAAAGAAAGGATGAACCTATGTCTTTAAAACTATAATGATGTTCATCAGACAACCCAGCTAGTTTAGCCAAAGAAAAGGCTTGAAGGTTGAATTAAAATCTGCATATTGTGCTTTTTTGTTTTATAGGGAAGTCTGAGCAGAGGTGCTACCTGTTGGTACACCTGGGCGCTTTGTGGCCTTGCAGCAGGAAGATTCTATATTTACATCCCTGCCGAGTTCTTTCTTTAAAGCAAAGGCCTGTGTAAGGTTTTCTTAGTTTTCTTAGTATTCTGCCTTCCTCCCACAGTCAGAGTACCCAAATGTTAGGTAAATTGGTCGCTCTAAAGTGTTTTTAAATGCATGGGTAGGTGTAGCCCTGTAGCCCTATGATAGACTGGACTCTGACTCACCACCAGCCTTCCCCGTGACCTTTTCACAATTTAGAGACTACAGGAAATGGATGGAAGTGTAGGTGATCTAACCTCATGAAGAAAACATCAACTAATTTTAAAACCACAACTGCAGACTTTGTTTTATAAAGGATCATCTTAAGATCAGGAGAGTCTTTACCCTGTCAATAAAACATATATTTTTTTGTTTTCTTTTAAATAATAAATATTTGTAAAAATAAATAAATTCATTAATAAAACAAAATAAAAAATAAAAAACAAAATTCCTTACACACAGGAATTTGTGCAATCAGACATATAGAACCTAGCTAATAGTATTGTACCAAAACATTCAACTTTTGCCTTTGTTTGGATTTGTTTTTTTGTTTGTTTTGTTTTTTTTAATCACCATGGTTTTTTCAACCAGTCATGTGTTTGTTAAAGTTTGGTTTCACACATTTTAAAATTGGACGGTGTAATCAGTGATCAAAAGTCATTCTCCATCTCTTCAATGCACAACTTCTCTTTGCAGAACGTTTCCGTTTTGTTTAAATAAAAAAAATACATTTTAAACTCTACCTTTGAATTTCAGTTTGTATTCACTCTGTGTAGACAGAATAACAATTAGATTTGTTTAAGTCTAAGAAACATTTCAAATAGTTAGCCTTAACCGTTAAACCAAATAGAATAAACCTACTGATCACAAAGATGGGCAGATCCATCTTAACGCTTTTTTTGTGTGTGGCAAATCTGACAAACTTTTGCTTCAAATGTATTATCAATTGTAAATGAAAATTAAATATAAAACCTATGAAGTTGTTAATTTTCCTGGAAATAAACAGCTAATGCCATTAAACCACTGCATAAAACAGTGGAGAGGATTTAGATATTGTTGGGGAAATATTTTCATCCGGTTTCATCTTTCTACTGTTTATTTATCAATGAGAATCAAGGAAAATAGCAGCATCAGTGTAAAATCTGTGTTAATATTATTGAGAAAAAGAAATGTAAGATGTCTACATGTCATTATAGTGCTGGCTTTCATTAAATGAATGAGGGCTTATTTCAGACCTATGACTCCAAAGCGTATAAAAATACCAAAAGTGCAGGAAGATCCGAAAGCACAGCTTAATAATTAGAAGGTCATTGGTCTATTAAGGGGGGGGAAAAAATCACCTTGTTTCATTAATTTTCTATAGAGAACAGCCTGCACAATAACTAGAGATGCTGTTTTTCAAGCAGCGGATGCTGGGAGAGTGAAGCAGGCTTTAAATGTATTGTCTCCTCTGACTTTTCTATTCAAAAACAGAAAGTTAAACAGAGCCACTCCTCCTCTGTGCTAGTTCAACCTGTTTAACTGCTAAACATAGGTGAGATGTGACAATGTTTAAGGTTTAGCACGTCAACTTTGAGACGGAGGCGGGCGTCCATCGCCCTGGGAGGGGAAGCACTTTCAACCTATTTTTCTTCTTTAATGGAAGATTATGTGAGATAATTTTCTTTTGAAAGTTCAGTGTTATCGGTTTACCTTTTTGGACATGGATGACATCTGGAAAGTTTGCCAGGTGACCTTGGTAAAGCGCTAACAAATCCATAACTGGGTCCAGATCTTTGCTGGGCTGTTCATAAAAATACTCCCCTATGGCTTCATAGGCATCTCCAGTGAGGGAGATGGCGTGGTTGAGACCCAGTGAATACGACTGCTGGTCCATCTCAAAGGCTTGGCTCAGGGCCTTGAAGGACATCCCCACCTTCTGGTACTCCTTCCTAAATCCCCCCATCTGCTTGCGAGCAAACTCTCCCACGGTGGCATTGAGCTGCATGGTGCTGTCGTCCATCCTCTTGGTAAACGTCTTGAACCCGTCGATTTTGCTCTCCACCTCCTGGAAGTCGAGGGGAGCCGGGGGAATGCTGATGGTGAGGAAGAAGTTGGCCCCCACCAGCTCGTCCTTCTCGGCCTTCCTCTTGCCCTGCTTCCAGGCCTTCTCGTCCGAGCAGATCAGGAAGTGCTGGAAGACGTCACACTTGGACAGCACCGGGTGGCTAGTCATATGGTTCATCCACCATATGAGCCCCTTCCTCCTCTTGGAGATGAAGTCCTCCTCGAAGCGGCCTGTGGCCTGCTTCTCTGGGAGGTGCGGCACAGAGATGACCGGGAACTTCTCCGCCAGGCGGGCGTAGAGCCAATCAAAGTGCTTGTACCTCCTGCTTACCGGGTTCTGGGTGTGTGTGGGGGTCAGCTTATAGGACATGTAGCTCTTCATCCCTTTAAACTTGGTCTGCTTGGTTGGATCATCGATAGTGCAGGAGAAGGGGTAAGGGTTCTCCTGCCACTCTGGACCGTACTGCCCCATCACCACACAGATCTTATCCCCGTCCTTCACAAAGCCTGAAGCCTCCCCGAGCACAAACGCCTCTCCTCCTGACTTAACGAAGGTGGAGAAGCGGTTTAGGTTCCTACTCACAGTGGCTGAGCTCTTCCCCTGCATTGCATTCCCTCTCTGCCCCCCATATGTTGTCACCCTGTACTTGGAGGGGCCATTGCCCTCTGAGTCCTGGTACCTTCCTCCCATTGGCTCATCAGCCACAGTGGAGCTGTCATCCCAGTCATCATCCCAGTCATCATCACTGCCTTGGCTGTGTTGTTTGTTGTTGTTGTGCTGCTGCAGCGGTGCTGTATAGGAGGTGAACCCTACAGGGGGGTTTGTAGAGAAGTTCTCAAAGCCTCCAGCCGGGACGTTAGAGTAGCGGGACTCTGAGGAGGTGCTGTAGCTGTTCACCTCCTTCCCCTGGATCTCCACGTAGGAGGCGGGTACCAGTCCTCTGTCCCCTTTGCCGTTGCAGCCCTCCAGCCATCCATCTATGTCCTGCTCGCTGACCAGAGTGAGGATTTCTCCCTCCTTCACCGACAGCTCCCCCGGGTTTTCAGAGTGGAAGTCGTAGATCACCGTGGCTCGGATCGCCATGGTTCATCCAGCAGCTGGACAGCAGGATCACCTCCGGCTACCTGGCTGCCTGTCTGTCCGGGGCAGCAGCCTTCCTACCTATGATATATAATCCTCATTAAACACCGGATGGGAGCCTTATAAAGCCGATCTGACTGGTTTTACACCCAGTGGTTGCAGCGTGTGAACACAGACCGCTGTGCTCTGCAGTCTCCCTCCTGCTCAGACCCAAACAGAAACACTTCTGCCTGATTTAAGCAGCGCAGCAGCCGCACGGAGGGCAGGCAGAGCAGCCGAGGGCGGAGCGACAACAGATGCAGCCCCTCCAGACATCACCAATCAACCACCGATAGAGCTAGCCTCTGATCTGTGTGTGTTTTAACCGCCTTTCTGGGAGAAATCTTTAATGTTAGGCTCTTATCAACACGGAGGAGGATGAGGGCCACTGAAAAAATTAAAAAAGTTAACTGATTTTTTATTTCAGTATAATATGAAATAATCTCAGAATTCTGATTTTAATCTCAGAATTCTGACTTTTTTCTCAGAAATCTGACTTTTTACTCAGAAATCTACGGAAGAGGATTAGGGCCACCAAAAAAATAAAAAAGTTAACTGATTTTTACATTTTATTTCAGTATATTATGAGAAAATCTCAGAATTGAGACTTTAATCTCAGAATTCTAACTTTAATCTCAGAATTCAGACTTTAATCTCAGAATTCTAACTTTAATCTCAGAATTCAGTCTTTAATCTCAGAATTCAGCCTTTAATCTCATAACTCTGACTTTAATCTCAGAATTCTGACTTTTTTCTTAGAATTCTGACTTTAATCTCAGAAATCTGACTTTGTTCTCAGAAATTTATGGAAGAGTAGGGCCACTGAAAAAATTTAAAAAGTTTACTGATTTTTAATTTTATTTCAGCATAATATGGGAAAAATCTCAGAAATCTGACTTTAATCTCAGAATTCTGACTACTCTCAGAATTCTGACCTTTTTTTCAGAATTCTGACTTTAATCTCTGAATTCTGACAGCTAACAAATATGTTACAATCAAGCCATCTCCCTGTATGTTTTAGAGACTAAACTAGCTCTCTGGTTTTAATCACCTTCTGCTTTTCCATTAATGAAATAGCATCACCTGGGACCCCTTGGACATGTAAAAAGTTGCCTAGTTCCACCGATGTGTTACTGGTCCTCCCAAACAACTCACATCTTTGTCAGTGAAGCTGAGTTCTCCCACATCTCTTCCTTCATGGAGCCCATGTAGATTAAGATCCAAAATTCTAAAATTAAAATCAGAATTCTGAGATTAAAGTTAAAATTCTGACTTTTTTTCCCCATATTAAATTGAAATAATATTTTAAAATCAGTTGACTTTTTTTTTCCAGTATAGCAAGGCAGCTAAATCTAGAAGTAAAAATAAACACAAACATGTTCTAGTGTTGTATGAGGACCACCTGTTGACTCTCATAAACACAATCCTATCCTTAACCTAACCTTGATTCACACCTTAGTCCTAAACCAAACCATCAACTAAACAAACAGTGAAAACCGTCAAAATGTTCAACGGTCCTCACTCTGATGCCAAAACCAAGCATACGCTTATGAGTCCTACTGAGACAAATGGTTTATCTCCTTACAAACTTCTCCTATTTCTGTCACTTTGCAATAAACACATTAACTTTGATATCAGACATAGATGATAAATATTTATCTTTTCTCATAAAGAGTTAAATCCACTAATCCTAATAAATGACTGTTATCGCTGCAGCACTCCTAATGAAATATAATTATTGATCTTATATAGCAGTGGAAAACAAATAAGCAATCTCTCTTGAAGGGTCTTCAAACATCCCCTGTTTAACTCATGCTGCAGAATCTCATTGTTGTGAGATTATAGTCCAGACTTTAATTACTTAAGGATCAATTAGTTGTTGTTATATTTAACCTTGTGAGGTGATTTTGATCATCTGTTTTGCTTCACTGTCCTGCTGTTCAAACCAAATGTGCTTGAGATCTAACTCACGCTTATTTGTTTGACTTCTGTGATGTTTTTTTAAGCCATAGCGCATCTGGAATTCAGTTGCAATGATTATCCCATTGAAGTATTTTCATTTTTGATCTCCTGTAAAACTCCTGACAGCTTTAAACTGAAAGCAGTGTGATTCAACGTGAAATGATGACTTTAAACAATTCCTTTTTTATGTGAATTATTAAAGATTTGATGTTGTGTTGAATTTCATTTAAGGTGCAAATAAACCCGGATTGGTTTTTAATACTTGTGACAGCATTCATCAGTGCAAAGGAATGCCTTTTACTGTGTATACGACATCATGATGACAAACAACTTTTCTCTCCATTATCTACACATTATAACTTTCAGTTGATTGGCTGACTCACCAACTCTGTCTATTTTAGCTCTTTGAAATTTACATCAATAAGTTGCAAGTCATCCATCTAAAAATAACTTTTCACTTCATCATTGAGACGAGGTAATTCTTAGCTCTTTGCAGGGATTAGTTTGTGGAATTTTCTTGTTCCTCCCACATCAGAGTGGGTTTTTTCTGAATATTCCAGTTTCCTTCCACAGGAAGCACAATATACAGTCTCCTGTGCTTGGTAGGTCAGAGATTAAACTGGAAATCTGTCTGGTCTTTCTACATGGATGCATTGATAAACAGATATCGTCGACTGTCAACTCTAGCTCACGTTTACAGATAACTGACATAGTTTTCATGTTTTAACTTGAATGGACGGATCACTGATTAAGATAAGGCAGGTTGAATAAATCTAACACTCTTTGAATAGATATTCAGTTTCACACAATCAGGGTAGGAAGCTCAGTGGTGCAGTGGGTAGCACTGCTGACTTGCAACAAGAAGGTTCCCGGTTTGATTCCCGGCCTGGGGTCTTTCTGCATGGAGTTTGCATGTTCTTTCTGAGTGGGTACTCTGGCTTCCTCTAACAGTCCAAAAGCATGACTGTGGTTAATTTGTTTCTCTAAATTCTCCTTAGGTGTTCGTTTGAACGGTTGTTTGTCTCTGTGTTGCCCTGTGATGGACTATTGACCTAAGAATTCAAATGTTTGCATTTCCCTTTCATAGAAGAATAGCTGACCCCTCTAGCTGTAAGGTGCTTATAAAAAAGAAAAGTGTTTCACTTTACAGTTAATGAAGTTTTTGTGAACCAATTAAATGGTTGTTTGCTGATCACTGTGGGTGTTTGTTATATTGTGTGCTTGCATGTCAGATCTCAGTTTATTATATCCACATAATGTTTGACAGCAGGGAAGTTAAGTATAGCGAGGCTGTCCCGCCAGAGGAACTTATTGCTCAACAAAACGGAAGAGTTTTCTGAGCATATTGTTAAGACATTTCAGATAGAGAGTTTGTTTGCTGGCAGGTTTGCTCACTGATACCAGACACTGACTTTACTGGTTAAACTAACTTTAATTATTGATCACAGAAATAAGGACAATGTATTTTTAGTTTAACGAGAGGTCTAAGCAACCAACCTCCTACCTAAAAGTTAGGGACTTTTGCCTAAATGTGTAATTTGTGATGTCAGCATGAGGATGATTTTATTTGCTTTATCTATTTTCTACACAGTTGATATCTGGTGCAGTCGATTAAAGTTCAGTTAATGCATCTACTTAACCCTTAGCAAAAATAAAGTTTATTCAAGTATCCTAAAAATGCACTAATTTCATACTTAAAATCAGGCAGTGCACTTCTAAACTATATTTCATATACTTAACAATAGTATAGTCAAGTGTACTTGACTATACTATTGTTTACTTTATTGTTTACTAAAGTATATTTTAAGTATACTTTAGTAAACTTAAAAATGTCCCAATTTAGTTCGAAGAAGTATTACTTTAGTAATACTTCAAGTACACTAAAAGTACATTGTTTGGTATACTTTCTAAACTTATACTTATACTTAAGTATTCTTAATAGAATTTACTTCAAGTATAGTACTTTTTGCTAAGGGAAACCTGCATTCAAAATATGTAAGAGGGAAGCAGCATACTTCTTCAATGTCTGGGTTGTAAAACCCACAATAAAAAAAATAAAAATAAAAAACTTCCCCACAGTCACTAATGATCCGATATTCACTGTTTTTTAATATTTACACATGAACATAAATGCTTCAGAAAAGCTTCCCATTGAGTCATGCAAGCCTTGCAACAATGGCCTGTTTTACCTTTAGTACTTTGGTTCCCTCTGGTGGATGTTTGTCCTTTTGATATTGACTATTTTTGTCAGAATAAAAGATAAATAAAATCTTTAATATTTCAAAACATTTAATCATTTAAATTCTATGAAATTGTATAAATCATGACCCTAGCATTGACTTTTTTCATTGAACTGTTTGAACTGTTGGTAAAACATGTTAAGTCTTATAGTTTTCAAGGTAGTAGAAATATTGAAGAAAAGCATCTTCCAAATCGAATTGCTATACTATTTTATCTCCTTAAGCAAAGCCTCACTTTAAAGAATCAAAACATAGATGCTATATCTCACGCTTCAGTGTCTCTATCCTCCCTTATCCCGTAACTTTCAGATGTGAAGCCATGTCACCCAGTTCACCTTCCACTTGGCCTACTTCAGGAAGTCTTCATATATAGAAAGTACTGAAATATTAAAGACTAGTGCACTCTCCAGGGAACATGAATTACATCACCCTGCATATTGCATTGCTTGAGAAAATGTTAGATTTTTATTCTTATATAAGCAGTGAAAAAAAAAATCTTTCTGCATAATTATCTGACCTTTCGCCAAATGAATATGACTGTGTAATAGATTGTCATACCCGCTGTGATTTGTCTGTGAGCGCATTTGAAGATTATGGGAGTTCAGATGAGTGTTAATCTGGATGACGCATATGCTATTCCCATCATTTCTAAGTAGAAACATCCAATAGGGCTGTATTCCTTTGGATACACATCCATCTTTTTTATTTACACCTCTGATGATTGAAAATTGTAATAAGGCTTAACTAAAAATATTTGCAGCAGGAGTATTCTAACGTAAAAGAACACTGCCCCGCATAATCCAGAGGTCGTCAAAGCATGTTTGGATGGAAAAATGCAAACTCACTCAAGAATATCAGTTATTTAATAACCTTTTTACAGCTCATATGTCTCATTAGAGTACAATTTAGCGTGTACAGGAAAATGAAGGCTCACTCACCTAAAAACACATGGGTTCTGCAGAATGCGTTAGCTGTTTTCAGAGGGTATGTTTGCACAATGGAGCTGTGTTCTGAAGCTTCTGGGTTTTTATTCTAAAACCTCTAAAGAATTTCTCCCAAATTGTGCAGCAAAAACATTTTATTCCCTACACTGATTTCAGTTAAGAGTAGCTGCTGTAAGAAAATGAGAAATGACTCAACATCACTTAGTGCATAGATACAAGGGGGCAATAATTGCATTCAATTGCAATTCTGAAGACTAGGGTAGAATAAAACAATGGAGATTTGAAAGCATGGCATAATTAAAAGTTAATGAACAAAAATGAAATTGTTTCTAAATGCAATGTTTACAACACAAATAAATCTATGCTCTTACGTAATGTTTTTTTTTTTCAATTTCTATAGGAATTAACACCCAAATGAGATAAACAGACTGCTTGACAGTGATGTGACAAAAGATTAATCTTCCTATAACTTAATTCAGGTCTTTTATACAATGAATTCATGGGCAATACATCTAAAAAAAACAGCAAAATTAGGACACATCAATATTCAATATGCATTTAAAATCTACAGCAAGAATCCCAGTTTATAAACAAAAGAAAAAATGTGATAAATAGAGACAGATCTAAATTTATTCCCACTTAAAATGTCTAAAATCACACACCTACTCAACATTTGGAGGGAGGGTTGCTTTATACCAAATACATTCAGTCTGTATTGAGCGATGAAGTAAGAAGATCCAAGGACAATGGAAGAGAGTGTGAAACCAGCTATTCCATTGTCTACAAATAGAGAAAATGACACTTTTATACAGATTTGTCTAAAGCTATTACCTGGACACCGGAACACAGAACAGGAACTAATTACAGTAATACAGCCATTCAGCTGTGAAGCAAGGAGGCAGAAGTCTCATGGTTTAGAGAGTTCTCTGTTGCAAGCGGACCACACAAACTCGCCATCAAATGGTACACAATAATTTGCACTCTGCATCAGAAGGTCCTTGAGTAATATGTGAAACTGATCTGATAAAAAAGAAAAAATGAAAGCTGAAGCAGAACTGGACCCCGTTACAGTAAATCCTCCAAAGAACTGGCTGAAATATAAGTAATTAAAAGTCATTGAAGGGGTCAAAGCTCAGATATTTATCCTTTTGAGTAGCTCTAGGTTGAGTGTGCATGTAAGAAAAACCCTATAACATTTAACAGCTGAAAAAGAGGTTTATTTATTGCTTAAAGATGGTCTACAATAGCATCTTACTCCCAATACTCATAGCAGGTAAGGCACACAGCGCCCTCTACTGACTAAAACTGGAAACAACAGGAATTTACCAAAGCAACACTAACTGTAAACTAAGCAATTAAGCTGTTTTACATTCTCACTTAAACATTTCTTTTTTTTTTTTTACACCGTTGGTTAATTGACAATATTTTGAATATTGATTGTTGGTGAGTGCAAAAAGTTGCCTATGTATGTTGTGATTTCTAGATAAGGGACAGTTTTAGCTTTTAGTCATTTTTATTACGATAGATTGAAAAAGTGGCTGAATATCGGTGTGTATCTGTGTAACGTGTAACAGGGTTGTAAAAATTGGACCAACCAAACACACATTTTAATTTGAAAAGTAAAACGCTGAAACCCTGTAATTGAAGATAAAGTAAAATATAGAGGAAAATAATCACAAATTGTGTTTGGGACTAAATTTGAGTTTTCATTTCATATCACTCTGGAAAAATTATTATTTTTGCATTTGTATATATATATATATAAGTTATGTGCTTGTTATATGTAGCTTAGTATGTATCCCTTAGAATTTAACAAATTGAACAAGGAGATGAACATTACTTCAGAGTTACTTCTGTTTTGTTTGACATAGGACTAAGAAAAAAGATTTAACTATGAAATTATAACAAAACACCTGAGGAAAAATTAACAGTTCCTAATACTAGTCATTCATAGTTCATTTTGTTTTATCATTGATAAAGAGATAATTGCTCCAGTCAAATCCTTTTTTATTTTAGTGTCTCTGAAATAATAAAGTCATCTTAATAAAGTCAACTATGTTTAGTCAAGATTCAGCTGTATGTAAAATGGCCTCAAATCTGCTAATGTTTAATTTCTGAGAAAGGTCCTGCCGTCTGCTCTGGTCTGCTCCAAGAAAAACTTATTTTATGTTTGCTTTTTGCTTTTGAATTATTACTGCAGCTTGCTGCAGTAGAATGTCATTAATAATATTGGAGTAAAGGAAACTTAATAAAAAATAAATACCACACTTTTTTATTTCTGCAAACCTGCAAAAAAAAAAAAAAAAGCTTTTTTTTTTTGCAGGTGTCAATTATGGACTAGACTCATCCATCCATTGTCTGACACGCTTGTCCCAATTGGGGTCGCAAGGGGTGCTGGTCTCCAGCAGTCAATGGGCGAGGGGCGGGGTTGGACTAGACTCTCCTCCTGAAAATATAACTACAAGCTAATCATTTTTGTCCCAATTTAAACGTATATAGTTATGTATATACAGTTATGTTTTGAGAGATTTATAGTAATCTTGAGCATTATTCCAGTTTAAAATGTTGAAATTTGAATTTATCTCAGCAGCCATCCTTTTTTTTTTAAGGTTTGTTGGATATTTGCTATACACAATCCTTCGCCTTATGGTAATTAGGTTTATATATAGTGTCCAGCTTTGGTTTTCCTTCATTCTGCCAAGGCTATTTGGAGTGAAAGTTCTAGTAGAGATCAAGAACATCAGAAAACAATCACATAAAAGAGCAAAAGACATAGCGAGAGCCTGGCTGTGGAACAACAGTGAGTTTAAAGAACTGACTGAATTCAAATCAGAAACTTTTGAATTCTGTGTTGGATGATGTTTTTTTATGCATCAGTATTTCCCTTCAAACATTGTCTTTTTTTAGTATGTTGCATCCTGTTTATGTCATATAACTGAGGGGAAGAGAATGTAGGTGGCACAGTGCCGGGAGGAATTAATGGAAGAGAAGGAAAAAAATAGGAAGAAAAACATTGGAAGATGGCTAAGATGGGGTGGAAGAGACAGGGAAAGGTGCTTTGCCTTCATATTTTGCCAAAGACTCTATGATTTTTAGTAACTGCTCACCTGTATCACATTAGATAAAGTGAACAGATGTATGGTTATTGTAAGGTTTAGTGTGTCTGTCTGCTGTTTGGCGAATTTTTGACAGGATAAAGTTTGTTAACTATGCATGGTTTCGTATTATATCTACTAAAATATTTATAAAGGTAGGGTAAAAAATAAAATCACATTTCAAACTAAGATAAATATCTAAGGGTAAAAAATAAAACAGTTGTGATATAATTGTTGTTATACAAGTTTGTTTTATAGAGTTTTTCAAAAAATATAAACAGAAGTGGGTTGTTACGAGTAACACGTACTCAATAACGTGTGCTTTAGTAAATTCGTAAAAAAAAAATAAAAATTAATAAATGAAAAAAAAAACAGGGAAAAGTTTTACTTTTTTACTTCCACATGAGTGAAAATATGATAAAGTGCTTCTGATTATAGAGTTAAGTTTCTAGCTACACATATCTACAGTATTTGAGACTTTTTTTGCATGCAACCTTCATGGTTTTAAGGTTATAATGCCCTGATTCTGTATTCAGCTGAAAGTCCAGTGAACGTACAGTAAACAGTATACTGTATATAGTTACTTTTCCTGTTCTAGCCCATATACATTGCATACTGGAAGTACTGGTTTTATAATTATTTAGTGAAAAGTGTTCCTGAAATGGTTGTTCTGTCATTATGTTGTATGTTCATGTATGGTACACCATACATGATAAGAACAAAACTCTTAAAAAGAAATATATATCCAACAATAAAAGTATAAAGATTATTAGTAATACTCAATATTATAATAATAACTGAACAGATTCGAGAAGCAGTGAAGGAAACGAAAATAGCCTCCATGTGTTTGATCACGTGACCCGCGCTGCGTGCGGAAGAAGAAAGAACGACGTGCGTGACGTAACGCGAACGCTTTCGTTAGTTTCCTCACCAAACACTGTACTGATATTATTGTGTGATAAAAAAAAAAAAACTGGAAGGCAGCCGGTGGAGAAGGAGCTGTTTGCTTCAGACAAAGACCAAACCAAGCCCAGCTGGTAAAGCGGACCGAGTCGCTGCTGCTGCTGCCATGGAACTGGTCTTATAAAAAGAGGCGAAGAAGACGAAGAATTTTTTTTTAGCACTTTTTAAACCAAAGAAAACCAGTTTTGAATCTAGCTGTGGCTGTCGGAAGGAAGGCGGGGAATACAAAGAAACGCCTGCTGAAAAAAACCCTCAACATTTTAGACTCACTCAATCAAATAAAGGATTATAACGAACCGAAATCCTGCTGCTGTGACAGGTCAACGGTAGTACATGGATTATCTGGTGAGTAAAAGAACAAAACATTTTATTTTTTCCTATTATTTGACTCATGGCGACCAAGCAAGCTACTGCAGCCAAGCTTTCACCTCCATATCTATCAACAGTTTGCCGAAGGTTGGTCATTTTTCCTGCTGAACTCCTCAACTTTAGCATTAGCTGTTATTGTATGAGGTGCTTGGAGCAGATCATTCCCTCGGAATTGGTCTAACTGGTTGACCCAGACCCCAGTCTGTTTACACTATAAGCTGTCCCTTTAAACACTGGGAACGATGCCCTGCTCAGCTGTGGATGCATGTTTATGATGATCAATAATAATAATAACTTCCCTCCAGCCTTTACCTGGAAGATCGCAGTGTTTTTAGGGGCCCTTCAAGGGCCCCTGCAGGGGCGGAGCTAGATGGGGGGCCAGGGGTGGCAATGGCCACCCTTAGCCAATCACTGGCCACCCCTAATATTTTTTTTCCCTCTAAAGCAGATCATTGCACGCATCTGCTGCTCACACTGTGCGACTAACTGCAGGGTTTAGTCGTACAGTGTGAGCTCACAGCTCATGATTTATGTTTGGCCTGACGCTCTGTTGCGATCTACATGCTCACACTGTGTGACTAAAAACCATGTCGGACTCAGCTCTGCAGTGAGATGGAGCTGCTCTCTAGCTCTCTATCCTGAAGCCAAACAAATAGAAGGGGGATGTTAAGCTCAATATAGTGAACCGCGCCGCCTTGGAATTTTGTGCAATTTTGTGCTGAGGGTCCTAAAAAGAAAAAGGACATGGCTGAGCAGGTGTGGCTGCTGCGGTCCGTCAATTTTGCAGACGGAGCTGCATTTCACTCATTGCATCTATGCCACGCTGCTGTGTTTACATCTGAGAGGAGGAATAAAAAGAAGAATCCTTGTTTGCGTATGCGCCCTGAGCGATTGCTCACGAGCGATTCGACTTCACGATTTCTGATCAGGAGGTGGTCGTGAGAGACTGATCGCCGCTCGTAACCCCCTGTACACTACACGATGCACCATCAGGCTGAAAGGCGGCCTGATCAAAAAATACTCGCACGATTGTGAATTCGTCCCGAAAATCGCACAGTGTACGCCGGGCTTAATACAGATGGTGGCAGCCAGGCTCGGACTGGTAATCTGTGATACTGGGCCGGTCTTAATTTTAGTGTGCAAGGGCCGGCCATCCTTAAATCGTACCGGGCCCTACACTTAGGCTATGTTCACACCGCAGGCCTTGATGCTCAATTTCGATTTTTTTTGTGAAATCCGATTTTTTTTTTGCATTGCCGTTCACATTTCTAAATATATGCGACTTGTATGTGATCTCCTGTTTGAACTGCATTAATTCAGTTTATGTGTCCCGCAGTAGAGGACGCAGTGACTTCAAAAGCCAACATGCTCTATGTTTACGGAAGTAAACATGGACGGTGGCGCTGGAGCACATCTAGCTATCTTTCCAAACCTTAAAACCTAAATTTTTTCAAGACGGTAAAAAAAAAAAAAAAACTCTCTCCGCATCATCGTCAGCCATAGTGTTTGTTTTTCTTGCCGCTTCTGTGTAGCAAGACGCGGAATAGGAATAGGGTATTAATGGCGTTCAGATTGGATGGATGCGACCTGGCCGTTCAGACACAGGTCGCATTTAAAATGATCAGATTCGTATCGGATTCAGGACCAAATAGCCAAGTGGCCTGGGTCGGATTGGAAAAAATCGGATCTGTGTCGTTCAGACAGCCATGAAAACAACAGATCCAGGTCGCATATGGGCCAAAAAAATCTGATCTGGGTCACTTCAGGCTGCAGTGTGAACGCAGCCTAATCTCTCTGGCCGAAGCACCTACATG